CCAGAACTGTCTCCATTTTCTGCACCCGTTGTTCTAATTCACTCAGCTAGAAAAGAAAAAACTCAAAGCTTAAAATTCAATTCAATTTACAATGAATGACTATAAGATATTGACAGAGTCCCAGTCAGTATTCACTTCAGCAATATAAATATCACAGAAAAAAGGATAAAATGAAAAAGGAATTAATTAAAAAGTCAAGTCCATTTTTCTGATGTGATTATCAATTGAACAGTATGGGAGAGGAAAGATGTAAATAAATCATTACAATCAATACTCAAGTGTGTTCACAATTTCTAAAATGACTCTTGTGAGCAAGACAAAGTTGCATATCTATACATGAACCTTTTCACCACAAAAAAGATAATAGGGACCTTAAGCAAACCACGACGGCGAAGGCAACAAGGTCGTGGAAAAACAAAAAATCTAATTTGCAGAACAATAGCTCAGCACRCGCATTTTAAAACTTAGTACATTTCTTAGCCGTCCTTTGCAAAACAACAAGGTGAAATCCCCAAAATTTGCGTCGTCTGCGAACCGAAACTAAAATCGCAAATTATTTAAATTCTTATTTGGAACTCAACGCTACTTTTATATGTTATGTTGAGGTTGAGTTGGGGCGCTGTATGAGATGGTAAACACATGCAACCGTTTTTGAAATTTTAATTAAAAGTGGAAATTCATTTTTTAATTGATGTCTTCCTTAGCGTTGCTGTCCTGACTGCTTAAGGTCCCTAATAAAACTTTACAGAAGAGCAAAGGCCAAAGACGTGATGAGTAGAATTTACCTGAGAGAGCTGATTAAACTTTGCATGTTCTGGTTTGTAAAACAGCTCATATGTAACACATCCATCTTCACTTTGCTAAAAGAAATGGAGAAAAAACTGTTAGAAGCAGTTAGTAAAAAAAAAGGTCATTTACAGGGCTGCCTATAATTTTCAAAGTAGATGGCTGTACTGATCCCTTAAACTAATTTTTTCAGGGGAACATGACCACAGACCACTTTAGAAGGGTGTATTGCAAAGCAAAACACCTTGCTACACAAGTATACTTCAGTTCAGCTGCCTGCTCTGTTCAGATCATACATCTATTACAATTTTTATTGATGATTTCATTATGATGAAAAAAGAACACCAAATGTCCATTAAAGACACTTTTTTCATAAGCAGTCCACATTATTCTTTGTGTCTCTTAAAAATACCAACATCAATTTTTCAAACATATCACTCCTAAGATAGGGCTTCAAACTTAAATTTCCCTCTTTAAAAAAAAAAAAAAACAGAAAATACAAAGAAGAAAATAAATCAACAAGCACCTTAGGTTGCTTCCCACTTGCTGACTCAGCTGTTTTAAAAGCTTCAAGTTGAGTCTGTAGGCGTCTAAATATAAACAGAGCATCTCTTAGTACAGTAAAACAATAATCAATTAACCAAAAAGAGCTCAAGAGCACTGGATTCTTAGTCAAACATATCCTTGATCTGGACAGTTATTTAAGTGTCCATCTTGTAATCATAAGCTTCCTAGCTGTTGAGTTTTGGTCTGGCTGTTGTGTTGCATTCTTGTGCAGGACATTTTCCTTTCACAGTACCTATCACCACCCAGGAGAATATACACCTTATCTGATGGTTTAACTTACAGTATGCATGGATATTTTGTGATGAAATAAAACTAAAGTTGGGATCATCCAGTGCAACCTTTTCAGTGCTCTGCTTTACATCTCTAGTTTTACCCTGTGGCATATTTTGGGCACTCCAATGCCCTGATATGATAAAATGGCATTTTAGTGGAGTAACAAGAATGGGCAATGGCAAACTTAGAAGAGAATGTGGCAAAATATAGAAGCACTGGGAGGGGGGTGTAACCTGTAATAGAATAGTATCCCCTCCAGGAGAAGTGGCAGTACACCTGGTGAGTTCACACTCAATAAACATGGAGGAGCTCTAGGAGTAGGCTGTCATGCTTGGGTTGTGACTTAAATGGATACTCCAAAATCAGGTTTCTGAGTAAGGACTGGAACTGAATAATTTATTTTTCAGTAAATATTGGAGAAATAAATTATTCAGTTCCAGTCCTTACTCAGAAACCTGATTTGGAAGTATCCATTTAAGTCACAACCGTCATTCTTGGGACCCTTACCTGAAGCTGTTGGGCTTGAGACCCTTGCCTGACACCCACTGAAGCTAAATATGTAGGTCACAATGTTTTTTACTAAGTACACATGCGCAAAGCATTGCCTAACATTTATCATAAACATATCAATTTGACCTACTGTGACAACCCAGCTTGTGGTGTTGATACCACAGTCAAAGCCTGCAACAAGAAATAAAGCAAGTATTGTGAATTAAAGTTTTCCCAAGTGGAGGAGTTAGTCAGCTTGAAAAGAAAGAAGTTGGCAAAATGGCCCTGGTTAGCTGCCGGGATCATAACATACACCTGCCACAATTTTAGCCAAACGTGTGGAAAATTTTCCATGTACTGAAAGGATTTTGTTGGGTTCAATCGAGGGAAAGAACACACAGATTGGGTTTCTGAATAGCTTTAATCACAAATGAAGAAACATGTGTAAATGGTAAAGAACGGGACAGCAACAGTGATTGCTTGGTGGCCTGGCCTTTGCCTAGCGACCTAGCTTTACAAAGAAACCTCATAAAGAACTAACAAACACAACAGATTTGATTCAGTGCCAGGGGGCACTTATTCTCCTGGGGAGGCTGCTTATTCCAAAACAGGGTGCTAAATAGGTACAAGGCAATTAATTTTTTTTTGAGAAACAGAAGAATGTGTGAAACAAAGCTTTGATGTTTATTTTTAAGGGAAAAATAGCAGAATCTGTAAAACAAATATACATTGAAAAGTCATATCAGAACAGTTGGGAATATACTCTACCAGTGCTATCAGTGAAACAGAATAGGGACTCTTATCAACAAAACAAATTCTAGGGAAGCCCGTTTTTAGAGAGGGGTACTTGTTGGGACAAGGGTCCAAAATCAAAATCATTATCATAATGGTGTTTGTACTCATCTTGAACTAGCCTTACTTATGTTAATAGCTAATTTGTTATTGCTGAGCCTCCTGTGATCTGGCTGGGTTTCAAGAGACTGTTGTTTACTTCTGACGTATGCTAAAAAGGCCCTTTAATATACCAACCCAACCCAATAAATTTAAATCTCTCTTGGAAAGCTTTTATTCTGTTTTATTGAAATTACAGTTTGTTTTTTTGAGTTTTTGATTCTGTGAACACTGCAGCTATGTCTGTTGTGAGTTTTTGTACATAGTGCTGTAAAAGGATTCTCCACCCAAGATTTTATTACATTTTATTGTATTTTAGAAGAACACAAAGACCAGTGTACCTCCTTCCCAAGGACATTCACCAGATGTAAATCTTCAAGCTAAACGGTAAATGATAAACTCATGCATAAATACATAGATTGGACTTTCAGTATAATGGATTACACTTTACACCCTAACATCAGTGTGCATATTCTCCATACTGTTCTCTATACATTCCTGAGGTGCTGACAAGGAGAATTTGTTTAACAATCTAGAGCTTCTTAGACTGGTGATATCGATCACTACTTTAGGGTCAAAAGGCTGACAATAAATTGTCCTCAATATTAGAATGTCTATTAATGAAAATAGTCCTATGTTACCAGGGTTGTCCCTAATTTCAGCTGCTGGCGAAATTCAACGTATGAGTCATTAACCATCTTTGAACCTCCTACTTGCAATTTCAGACTGCTGTGTAATTTCTTAGTTATAACCACGTTTTACTAAATGAAGTTTTTATCTCTGTGCAGTCCAACAGTGTATCGCACAGAACATATTTCCTTTGCAAAGGAACTCATGTTGTGATTCAAATTTTTCTATGGTTTAAAGTTTTCAAACAGTTTTGATTTTCATCAGTTTTGCCTTTTGTCCAGTCATAATTGCAAAAAAAATTATACATTAAAAAATAAAAACCACATTAGTTTCAAAAACAGTTCACAAAAAAAATGTATCGAGCAACAAAACTAACATTCCACCGGAAAATTTGTTTATCACTTTAGGGTATCATGGAAGTGTAAGTGAGAACTTTGTTGTTTAATTCAGCACAAGCAATTTTTTTTTCGAAATATATTTCGTCAGAGTTTTAAAACAGCCTAGGACAAATATGAAGAGCATATAGAAGATACCCTTACCTGTTTTTGAAGGGTTTGCACCTAACATGATAAAAAATTAAAATAAAGAATTAAAATTACTAAGTTAAACATGGTATTGAAATAAGACATCCTTTTTCTGCATGTTAGTGACAATTGTTAATATCTATGTTAAAACTATTGCCATTTAATTCAAAGCATATTCCTTTCAACCCTAACATCAGTATGCATATTCTCAATACTGTTCTCCATACATTTCCTCCATGCTGACAAGAAGAATTTGTTTGACAATCAAATCAGTTGGTGATCATTTTTTTGGGTTCAAGTCCCAACCCAGGTTCAAATCACACCCTGACCACTACCTGGCTTTGTTTCACAATAGCTCTGAGTTCATATCCTTGATCACACTTGTAAATAACCAACTGGTTTGCCTCCAGACAGTTGGGATTCTTAACAATATTATGTTCAATTTGAATTATTTGTTTCAGTTGTTTGCTTGGCCCCACTACAGTAAAAACCCACATACAACAACATGAGGATTAAGAACACCCAGGCTGAAATTTGGTAAAAAAGGAGCATATATACAAGAAGACATTCAGCCTGAAAATTGAAAATTGTTCTTATATATAAAAACTCTTCCTTTTCAGTTTAATAGAACAAACAGAGTCTGTAGCTTTACTGTGGTATTCCTCTAAGATCTGTGTATAAATGCTAGTAATTTCACTATATGTATAAGTCTATATGTATTTGGAATTAAAAGTCTTATTATTACAATTATTATAAGTTATGTATTTTATCATAGTTAGTTAATCCCTTACAATTTTTTAGAAATAAAAAATTAAGAACACTTGAGAACACTTTTACGCTGATTTCACCTGAAATACCCAATATATAAGAACCCAGTCAGCCTGAACCCCAAAAATGGGTGTTCTTGTATGCTGGTTTTTACTGTAGCACTTGTGTGCTATAAACACTGTCAAGGGTAAAATAAATTTTTTTTTTTTTTATTCTTGCGACCTTAATGTGACTGAGGAGTGATATCATAGGATGAAATACTAACCTCTTGTGCCAGAACAACTGGCGAAAGTTTTTTCTCCTCTTTTTCATCTTGAACAGTGCCCTAAAACAATCAGAGAAGCCAGTGGTTTAGTGCATTATGATCAAATGTAACTCTTGGAACTTGAGGCAGAAAATGTATTTCCTTGAAAAATGAATAACATTCCTGTTTCTACCATACTTTACATCATTGACATATATAGGTTTACTTAACAGGGGCAAAAGAGACAAAATTGAAGTAATAGGGGGTTGAAAATGTCAAAGTGTAAACAATTTTGTCACCAATTTTTGGTAGAGAGGGACACCACAAGAGCTAGATAATAACTAATAAGGCTTAAACTATAATCTCTGGTAAAAAAAGTCCAGTTAACTCAGCCACAGATCTCTCAGTCATAAAACCAAGCTCACCTTAATTTGCTCCAGTTCTTCTGCCAGCTCTCGTATTTCATGCTGAAGGCGGTTAAATTTATTCTGTGGTGTCTCTTTTGCTGCTCCTTCTCCTAACATTTCATATTCAGTTTTTGTAACATAGCCTTTCATTTGTTCGGGACCACACCTTCCCGAAAAATCTGAAAAAAAAAAAAAAAACATCTTAACAAAATTACGAATTCGAGTTCTTGTATCAGAAATATTCATCTAATCTACCTTGTCTAAATTGCTCTGTGTTTACTGTATATTGCGTTTGTGTATCAGCCTTGACTCTAATGGCAACTTCTGCTAAGGTTGTTAAAATATCAGTCATTAGCCCTAACAACAGGTAAGGTAACAAATCTAATCCTACCGAAGCGTTGACTGACATGTGTTGACTGACACGTCAGCCAACACACACCACCAACACACAAATGATGCTTCTTGTTTATTCAAGGCGAAACTAGTTGGCAACACATCCACTGGCAGTTGGTCAACAGTAATCCGACAGTTGATTGACAGTTGGTAAACAATTAGCAGATTGTTGGAAAGTAGTCCTTCTCAGGACTACTTTTACCTGAACAATTAGATGACACTATCAACTGTTACTTCAGGATACAAACCATTCACCATAAATATAAATATGAAGCTTCAGATCAATTTATGAGTCTTTAATTCAAATAGGCTAGATTTCTGACAGGATCTAGATATGTATATAAGAACGATCCTTCGCAGTAAAGCACTATTTGAGCAATAGTGGAAATCAAAAAAAAAAAAAAAAAAAAAAAAAAATTCAGGCCTGTACGGGATTCGAACCACTGACCTCTGCGATACTAGTGAAGCGCTCTATAATAGTTAGGTCATTATATTGTTGTGGCTGCCATGGGTGACTAGCTCTAAGCAAAGAAAAACCAAAACAATTTTAACGTGACTTTACAGTATATTCAACCTCAACAATTGCTGACACCAGTTGGTATTGATTGGAACAGTTAAAACTGCAAAGAAAATAACAAGTGAAAACCTATTTGTTACGATACTGAAGAATTACTGCCTAATGGCAAAGAAGGTAATTTGGTTATATCCACTAAGTTGAAATATTGAAAATTAGCCACCGTAACGAATAAAAAAGCCAATGTTTCAAGCGTTAGCCCTTTGTCAGAGCGAATGGAGGAATTGTGGGTTGTATGTGGGTTTATATGCAGAGAGTGGAGCTATGCCATTGGTAGGAACATGGCCACGAGAAAAACACGAATAAATTACTGGAGTGAAACGTTCATTGCTACCTGTGGGATTAAGAGTGCCGATTTGAAGGATCAAGAGTTTTGGTGAAGAAGCTGCCTGACGTGTGGTACGATGAAATATATAATTGTGGACTTACTGAGTAAAACTGAACAAACTACATTGAACAATACAGTTTAAATATAAGCTATGTCACGTAATGCAGCAAATGGCTTGAACCCTGGGGTAACATGTGAAAGTGTAGTGTGAAAATCCGGGCGAGTCTAATCCTGAGAAGGACTGTTGTCGGTGGTAGTGACTGACATTTCGACAACCTGTGCAGAAGTCATCACCAGAGTCAAGTAATGTAATGTAACGTAATGTTACCAAATGATGGTGCACATAAAACTTTTACTACAATTAGGCCATTTGTAAAAGAACAGTAAACAAAAGAAGAACAAGGCATTTGTGATCTACAATTATTATTTAACCTTTTACACCCTAACATCAGTATGCATATTCTCCATACTGTTCTCTCTACATTTCTTAGGGAGCTTACAAGGAGAATTTGTTTAACAATCAAGAGTTTCTTAGGTTGGTAATCATATCTTTTAGTCTCATGACCTTAATGTGTAATTCTGGAGTGACACCAGGACTTGAAATTAACAGTAACCCGTTAACCAATGGTTAGTAATTTTCAACGTTTGGTTACTAAAAATGTGTCCAACTAACCCGACATGGTTAGTAAAATTTTCTAACATATTTAAACATTGGTAGACCTCAGGACAAAGAGCACGTAGACCCGACTCTCGGAGGAATACTCAAGTTGTTTAATCAACTTAAACTCTTGAATGTGCTGTAGTGTACTGTTCATGACTAATCGTGATGGTAAATGAGAGGGAAATAAAATAGGTGCATAATTATCACTGTTTTTAAGGTCACCATGCAATTTCAGCTACTCTTTAATTTGTCCTGGTCGTTATTATCAAAATGTTCAATATTTGAGATATCGTAACTTGTGAGCTTGGATACCAAACTTTATAATTTGGTTAGTAAAAAAGATGTCTACCAACCCAAACGGTTAGTGATCTAAAAATTAAATTCGAGCCCTGGACACTATAAGGAGAAATTAGATGCTGGTCACTCATAATTCAAAGAGTTAAGAGAGTATCAGCTCTACTTTGTTACAGTCATTGCTTGACACATGTTTAATATCATTTTATGTCATAATAATTTGGCTCTAGTTTGAGACTTGTAATTTTTGCAACTTCAAGGGAAAAGCGAGTTGTTGAAATCACTGTGTAGTAACTTACTCAATTGGAATTGCGAATGTCATTACAGTTTGAAAAGATCACTTTGTTCATGTCTTATCATTTTCTGCAGTCCTCTTGTCAATTGTTTAACACTTTAACTCCCTGAAGTGACTAATATGTAACTTCTCCTTATAATATCCATACATTATCCAACAAACAGGTAATGAGAATACACAAACCAAGTAAGTAATTTTATTTAACCACCTATCGCATATGAGCGATAGCTCGTTTAAATGCAAATGTGGAAACCCACCCATCCCACCCCAGGGGAGGACATCCATCACACAGTAATCCCGTGCATGGGAAATTAATGTCTCCTACCCCTAACCCTGCAGGAGATGGGACCTCCATACTCGTCGCTATCCGAGAAGACTAGAATATCTAACCATTTCTTGATGTTATAGAAAGGTAGCATATTCTTCTCAATTAATTTAAGACCTTGAGTGTTGGTCCGGCCGGGGCTCAAACCCTCGACCTCCCGCACAACAGTCCAGTGCTCTATCCATTGAGCTAACTGTGGAAGTTGTTATCTTGATGTAACACCAAATTCTCTAAGCTAACTAAAAAGGAAATATGTAGCAGCTAGAGGGGAGGATCAACAATCAGGTCTTGGGAGTTGAAAGTGGTTAAAACATATATTTGGTTGGTTTAATCAAGATCATTAATCAAATTCAAACTTCCACTTACCAGCATTCCCTGGGTCTAAATATTTTCCACTAAATTTCTCGAATGCTTCTTTAGCGTCAATTTTTAACAAATGAATACTTTCGTCTCCATTCTGGGCCTGAAGAATTGTACAAAACAATAAGAGATTAAGTAAAACAATTTTTAAACAACTTTTCCTTGTTTATTTTTTCCCTTCCAGATTTGAATTGACCTTTTTTTTTTCTAAAGTAACGGCGCATTCGAAGGGTAGGGCAAAAATATACAAAAACTGATATTATAGAATGCGCTTTCGTTGAGAGGGACTTTAAATTGCAGCATTTTAAGATATTCAAGCTTAAGTACATGTAATGAGCATTAAGAAATGCGGGAAACTGAATAATAACTTTTGATTCTCCTCCAGTCAAAAAAAATTTTTTTTGACAAAGTACTTTACCGCATAGTCACCCTCTTGGTCAGCTTTTTCTGTAACATCGGGAGTTTCATAAACATCTGGCTGATTGTCCTAAAAATGAAGAGAAAAAGGGAAGAAAATATGACAAAAATCTACAGGGGACTGAAAATGGACGTTGGAAACATAACAACAAAACATTTAAGTTAAAAGGGATACTTACAATGCCAGGTAGTTCAGAATATCTGCTTCGAGCAGCCATGTTTGTAAATCTCCCTCACTACTTAGTAGCCTCTCCTTTATATCTATCGCTGAGTAAATGTTAGGTTGGGAAGCCTGTGTACCCTTCGGTGGCGAAGGGTTCAACCTGACGCGTGATAATTTTTGATAAATCCATAAGAAAGATAATATGTGATGCGTGAATTTTATAGAAAGACGAGCGTGATCCGTGAATTTATAAAACAGTGTGAAAACCTCAAAGTTTTCCTGAAACCTAGTCGAACGTGGGGAGGAGCGTTTCGTGACGAGTCTGAGCTAAGAAAGGCTGGGAAAGAGACTACCTGAAACCTTGTACAAAAGAGAAGAAATTTGAAGTCTTCCCTTTTTTTTTATGCGTGAAACGTGAATTTTTTTTCTGCGGGTGAAAGGAGATCAGGGCCCTCCTTTGCTGTCCTCGGCAAAGTGAAGCGTGAGAGGGGCGAGTAAAAGAAGGGCATGGCATGGCAAGAGGATGACGCGTTTGCCGTTGTTAGCAAACGACTCCGATTTGCATTTTTTTTTTTTTTTTCGTCCTTTCGCTTATTTCGCAAACATCATTTTTCGCTTACCCCGCTTGTTCGTGCATGGATTCGAAATTTAAGCGCTTTTGTACTCAACTGAAGCTGGGAAATTTTGCCGGAGTTTTCATCTACGCAATGACATTTTTGGTGCTTTAGAGGCAAAAACATTTTTGCAGTTCGGAGTACCCGAAAGTTAAACTCAGAAAAATTTTCTGGCAGAAAAGCAACACTAAGGGGAAAAAAATTACAACTTGATTTCTCAGTTATTCGCGGCACATACTTGTTCTTTTCATTAACATTTCACTAAAATCCTATCCTGAAATCTTTGAAGGACATGCAAAGCGGGGTTTTATTTTCCGATATCATTTCCTCTCTGAGCACTTTTAACTCAACTAAAGTGAGAAGAGAAAAGTCTATGCTTTCCAGAACTTACGATAGCTCCGGCTGGCGACTGATTCGGAAAGTCTTCGGCGCGCCGTCGAATAACTCCGAGAATCTTGGAACTGTTCGTCAGTCGTCAGGTACATAAGGATCTTTTATACTATGTAATAAACAAAATTTTTTAGCCACGGGTTAAAAAAGAGTTGGTGGGTGCAGCTATGAAAATAGAGTGAATAAATAAGTCTCCATCTGATTTTTAACACTAGAGCCGATTAAAGCATACATGGAAAGGAAGAACAAAGCAGAATAATTGATCAAGTAATTATAGAGAGAAAGGAACGAAAAAGCAAGTTTTTCGCAATGACGTCATGCCTACCACTTCCCGGTTAAAAAATTTCCCGGATGCCAACTAAGACCATGATTGGTCAAAAATCGTTCATTAACAAGCAGAAGGAAGACAGCTCCCATCGAACGGAAAAGCGTCCATCTGCTTGTAAAAGGTTTGGAGTGTGCTTATAGTAGTTATTGTTACTGTGAATTGGACGCCATGTCGAGCCCTGCCGATTTAGTTGCGATGGCTAAGCTGGCCGAACAAGCTGAGCGCTATGATGATATGGTTGAACATATGACAAAATTAGTAGAATCAACCAAAGAGGTCCTTTCTGACGAACAGAGAAATCTACTTTCAGTGGCTTATAAGAACGTGGTGGGTGCAAGAAGGTCCGCCTGGCGAATTATTTCGAGCTTAGAGGGTAAAGAAGGACATGACGAATCTAAAAGGGAACTTTCGAAGAGTTATCGACAGACCGTGGAAAGTGAACTGAAGGAAAAGTGCAACGAAGTCCTAAAACTGATCAAAAATCTTCTGGCTGTGGCGGAAAATGCTACCGGCCAAGAAGAAGCAAAAGTGTTCTACTACAAGATGCAGGGAGATTACTATCGGTACCTCGTGGAAATTGAGCCACCTGATTCAGATAATAGGAAGAGGCTGAGCGAAGAATCTAAAAAAGCTTACGAAAAAGCTAATGAGGAGAGTAAAAGTTATTTGTCAGAAACGAATCCCATCCGCCTTGGATTGGCGCTTAACTTCTCTGTGTTCTACTACGAGATCGAGAACGACTCCTCGAAGGCATGCGAGCTGGCAAAAACGGCCTTCGACGATGCGATAGCTAAACTGGATGAAGTAAAAGAAGATTCTTACAAAGACAGCACCCTGATAATGCAACTTCTCCGCGATAACCTAACACTGTGGCAGGCAGAAGAAGAAGCGGAACAACAAGGAGACGATTGATAAAGGAGTTTGCAATTTTTTGTGTACTTAGTCTAAAATCTCAGCGCTGAAAATGACTGAGTGGTTTTCGCTGGAAAGAATATTCACTTACTAATTAAGAGTCGATAGAAGCGGCAACGGAAATCAATACTTTTGCTTATTGATCTTCTCCAGACAAGTTCCTTTTCTAAGGTTCAGATGTTATTTTGATTTGGTGTAGCCCAAGATAGATCTCGGTCTGTTTTCAAAGCTTTTACATTATTAATGGTAAATGCCACCTCAACTCCTGCAAAGACAGCAATGCGTAAAGCATACGTCAAGAAAGCAACGTTCTTCTAATGTACACTGTTATCTTCTTTGCATAGAGCATTGGAAAAAAGAATACTGTTACGTTAATTTACAGTCAATTAGCATCCAGTATTCTTGTTTGGTAGCCCCAGTCCGTCATCTCCGATGCTGACTACAGAACGCGAACGTAGCAGAGAATGAAGTTATTATAGATTAATTAAAGCGTGACTCTTAAAAGTTTTATGGTATATCACTAGGAAGCACTAGGTAATGGTAGATTATAATTAAAGTGAAATCTTGTACTTGTTTAGATCATGACAATTAATTCTTGCCTTGAGCTCGTAGTTGATAGAATTACATTATTACTTAACGGTTGGATATTTTTTCCTTGGTGAGAGTAATAACTAAGGGTAAATGAATATTTTTTCCAGTAGTTTTTCTCTTTTTTTTTTTTTTATGAAACTGTGGACTGCTATGGCTAGGTGATTAACTAGCTGGAACAGTGAAGTTGTTCCATATGAATTTTGTGTAATCTTGAGAATTGTTAACCCTCTCCTCCTGAGAGATTCATGCTAAATGGTTTGAATCTGCTAAGTTTTTTTTTTTTTTTTTCATTTGGGTACTGGTCAACATAAAGAATGTTAGCAGGAACTTCCTGTTTTTTCTCAGAGAAAGAGAAACTAGCATGGCTGTCAATAATCATATTTTTGTAAGCAGCAAAGAGACATGTCTTCATGTCGTTGCACATGGATATTTAAGAGGAACAGTCGTGTTTGGTAGAGCTGTTTGGTTACATTCTTCTGGCCTATTAATTAGGCATGTCAGTCCAAGGAGGACAGAGTTAACTGGACTCTTCACAAATCTTCCCTTTGCCATTGTTAATATGATTTTTCAGGTATTGATTCATACCAGGGCCTTCCAGTGTTTCTTTTTTTTTTTTAGGCCACTGATAATTAGAGTTGAAATTTTGTTCACTGATCTGTAATTTCTGAAAATGTGACAGCCATCATCAGTAACGGTGTGGCTGTGATTGATATGAGGATAATCACTCTGATACCTCTTTTTGTTTGAATATTAAATGTGAGATAATTGCTAAAGAATTAATTATGTAATTTAGGTAGCATTAATAGGAATCATATTAAACATTGTGTGTTCCAATGGCATGTTAGCAGTGTCCTTGTTTACAGTTTGTCCCATCCCTCAATAATTTTCTTTCCCATGTTGCATTTATAGAAACATGACCAAATCAGATATATCATACTTGGAAATTTGAGCATTATACTTTTGAGTGTTGCCCCCTGAAGACATGCAGTGTGCTCACAAGTTTGCATTATGGGTCATTTACTAACCAAACCGCCTCCCAGTTAGTTCAATTGGTAGAGCGCCCGACTATTGTGTGGGAGGTCGTGAGTTCAAATCTGGCCAGACCAACACTCAGGGTCTTGAAGTAACTGAGGGGGAACGTACTTCCTTTGCTATGACATATTCAAGTGGTTAGACTTTCTAGTCTTCTCGGATAGGGACTATAAATGGAGGTCCCGTCTCACAAGCCCTTGTATGTGATAAAAAAAAATTTGTGGGACATTAAAGAACCCACACACTGTTCGAAAAGAGTAGGCCAAACATAGTTATCGCTTGTTGAGTACATGAGGTTAACCAGGCCTTCAAATTAAGTAACCTAGCCTTGGGAAATTACAGAAAAGTTCTAGAAATTGCATTTGAGACCTATATGCTGAAAATGACCTTTAAAACTCCACTAGTACTAGATAGGCAGTTAAGTTTGTTAAATTTGTTTCATTATGCGGGCATTATACTTGATGCTCTGACTATGACATCATGCCCAATCATATGCCAGTATAACTTACCTAAGCCCAACCATAGAAGTGGAGAATAGTGCATGTTGACTTTGATGCCCCGATTTAAACTAAAGCATGGATCAGTTTAAAGGTTCAACATTCTATTATCCGTCCCACCCACATGAGCATTTGATTGTTGTCAGGGGGTAGGGAATTTAAAACCTTACCTGGATGGGGTAGGGAATTTGGACCAGTGGAATATGCATGTTCTAATTTTAATTATGTTGGAGTTGAAAGGTGAAGGGTCTGCTTTTGTGAGTAATGGTTTAGAATAAAATTTTTCATAGCAGAATGATGCTTACAAGTGTAAAACCCAATGGTGGCCCCAGTTTTGAGACTTTGCTGAATTCCACAACATTTCTTGATCACACAAAGGATTGTTCAATATTTTTCTTTATTCTCATCACATGTTGCCATGGGATTGTATTGATAATGTAAGGAGAAATTCTGTCTTGGTCACTCATTGGAGTTAAAGGTTGACTGACTCAACCCTGATGTAAATGTTTGCAATATATCCTTTTTTTTTTATTTAGGGAAATAAAACCTGGATTTACTTGGCTTTGAAATGGTTCTTCAAATATATTGAGGACACCTCATGCGAGGACAACACGCGAGGCTGTTTGGAAAGTTGGGCGATCGTCACACGCGTGTGACGCGCGAGTGTGACTCGAGCGTGCATGGACACTGCGAAAAAACCTGGCGATAAATTTACAAGGTGAAGAAAGGAGGGAGAAAGGAAGTTGGTAAATCGAAGGACATGTTTTTGGTTAATTGCTGTGCATTTTGATCATTTATCATTAAATTTTCCGTATCGCCTGTGGATATTATGCAGTTCTTGTTCATTTTCACGGGGTTCACAGTTCTATTTAGCGTCCAACACCCTTTCCACGCATTCCTGGTTAAGAAACCTCCCGGATGTCGTTGGCGATGTTGATTGGTAGAAATCACGCAAAACTTCAACTAAGACACGTGACTAAGGAAGAGAAGGCAGCTCCCTGCAGCGTCCATTGAAATTTGTTTGAGAGCTTTCATTTTGGGTGGGTTGTAGCTTTTTATACTGTGAAGTCGCGATGAATCAGGTAGACGAAAATATTTACCGGGCAAAAATAGCAGAGCAAGCCGAGCGTTATGAAGATATGGTGGCGGCAATGAAAAAAGTGGTGGAGGAAATGGGAGACAGGGAGCTTAATCACGAGGAGAGAAATCTGCTGTCGGTTGCTTACAAGAACGTGGTCGGCGCAAAGCGCTCTGCTTGGCGAATTATTTCAAGCGTAGAGTTGAAATCGGAGAACGAAAACGATGAGAAAAAACAATATGCCGAAGAGTACCGAGAGAAGATTGAAAGCGAATTGAGAAAAATGTGCAATGAAGTTCTAGAGTTGATCGATAAATACCTTCTTCCCAAGGAAGAAAAAGGAACTAGTGGAGCACAATTAGAGGCGAATGTGTTTTACCTGAAGATGAAGGGCGATTACTATCGCTACGTGGTTGAGATTGAAAAAGGTGATGAGAAGGCTAAAGTTGGGGAAAAATCGAACGACGCTTACAAGAAAGCCCAAGATAAGGCTAAGGAGGGCTTGCCCCCTACTCACCCGATACGGCTTGGCTTGGCGCTGAATTACTCGGTGTTCCACTACGAAATCAAAAACGACTCTGAAGAAGCCTGTAAGCTGGCAAAAAGCGCATTCGATGAGGCGATAGCAGAACTAGACAGTGTAGAAGAAGACAGTTACAAAGACAGCACGTTGATAATGCAACTCCTTCGTGACAATTTAACATTGTGGCAGTCGGAAAACGAGGATAAAGACGGAGAATGAAATCGTTTCAATTTGTCAGTGCAAGTCCGCTCTTTATACCTTTAACTAAACGACAAGGTGATTATCTGTGTATTACAGGACAGGAGATCGTGATAGAGACATATTCTTTCAAATTCTAGTCGAAGGGACGATGGACGATTTAGAAGTAGCATAGGCTGTTACTTATTTACCTTTTCCTCTGTACATTGTTGGTTGAATTTCAGTTATACTTCACAAGCAGTTGAACTATGCGATGATAAACACGTATTTGTATTTAAATAGGTAGGCGATTCGAAACCGTCCAGAGAAATTGAAGTGTGTAAATCAGTTCCTAACGAGATATGATAGGATGTTGTGTATGGAACTGAATTAAAGTTTGTTTGCTGCGTCAACAGGCGTTAGGTTGTTATTTCAGTTCAAGCTAGTGCACGAAGTAATAGATTTATCGGGAAGGACCTTTGAAATCACTTTTGTGTAAACATACCAAGATACATTATTTCTTAGCTCTTTCTCTTTTGAAGATTGCGAAATAGTAAGCGGCCAAACTGGATCTCGGTGTGTTGGTTTGCAATTCGTTCCTAAAGCTTTTGGCCATGTTGCCGATTTCATTTGTTTTTATATTTCCCCTTGTCAACGTCGACGTTTGAATTTTCTCCAAACTAGTACAGCAACAGGAGTATGTAATTTCTAAATGTGAGACTTTTTCGCCGGCTTACGTTCGGAATCGGCGATCTTGGGTTCCATGAAACGACAACAACATGGTAAACGAGATGATTACAATTTAAGACCATTCTGTGTAGGAAAGTAAGTGACGGCAAAATACCATGGCAAATTCAAATTTCTCTTCGAACCACTTGTAAGCAGAGTCATTTTCCGAAAATTATTCCAGTTTTGATGAAATGGTCATAGTTTTATGATTTGAATTTGCAAACTAGCCTATATTGCAATGAAACCTTTTCAATATTACCAAACATGATTGATTTGTCACTAAAGCCCCAATTGGGTGATTACAGTTACCAGATGGTGTGGTGAATTAAAAAAAAAAAATACTCAGTCCTGAGAATTAATTAGATCCCTTCTGCAGCTGAGGTCAAGTGGTTATTGCACAAGACTGCATGTTGTTCCTGTTTCCTTGTAACCTTGGTGTAAGTTCTTGGAATTTATTGTGTTCACCTTAATCAGAAATTTGGGTAAAAGTTTCTCCTCACTGCATAAACTTTTAAACTCCTCAGATCTGATTGGGAATTCTCCCTCTCTAGCTGCCTCGCATTTTCTTGTAAATTAGTAACAAGAATTTTGTATGACACCAAGATAACAATTTCAACCTATTACATACAAGTATTCTCATTACTTGTCTGGATATGAAAGGGAGAAGTTACATGTTAATTATTTCTAGGAGTTCAAGCAAAAGTATTTGAACTCTAAATTCAGTCTAGAGGATGTGGTATTGGATCAACTTGTCTGCTTGATAGCAGGGCTCCCACGCGCACAAAGCGAACATGTGGCAGGGCCTCATACCCATGAAATATGGTCAACCTCTTTTCGTTTGGTTGTCAACTGACCAAGCATACTTACGTATATACGTGCCTTCAGATTGTACGGGTAGGGTAGGGGAGACTATCAAAATGAAGGGAGGGGTGACTTAAGCGAGTCTTGGCAAATGCACATCTGTTATGTTGTCATTAATATTACGAACTTGGGAGCTCCGCTTTTAGGCTTGGCTAAATCTATATATAATTGTTTTGATATTGTTAGGAGAAATTCTGTCTTGGTCACTCATGAGAGTTGAGGGATTAACATTGTCGAGATCTTGGGAGTGTCGAGGGAATATTTTACTTGATACATGTCCAGGGTCTGCCATTCTTGGAAACCAACTACTGCAGAGCTCTCAAGTCTCGTGCATTGAGCACGAGACTCAAAGACAAATTCAGTCATGATCTGGAGTAGAAAAAAACTCTAGCCATTAAATTGGCTGTGGAAGTCACCAATTTGACAACCTGGGTCTTAATTTGAAGTTGACAATATCATGCAAAAACCTACTTCAATATTTGTTTTATTATATTTATCATTCACAACAATCTGCAGAAGAAACACTTCGCAGACAAGGGGCATACTTTGAATGCAATTTCTACAGCGGTTATTGCATTTATCATGTCAATGTCACATGGTGCTCTTGACTTGTCTAGCAAACAGCTTTCTTGTAAAAATGAGTTTGTTTACCGGTAAATGCATGATGGATAATTGACCTCAAAGGATAATTCTATTGGTTTTGGTAAAATGCATTTCTTCAGAAACAAGAAACAGTAGAAACCAGCTAACTCACACTTCCTCCCTGAAAAAAGCAAGCTCTATTTAATGGGGATTCCTGTGATTGCTGTTGAATTCCAAGATTGGTGAATTAGTTATGTTCTGACACTTTGAGGTTTAGTGATCACAATTTTTATTTTCAAAGTTCAAGTTATCATGGAAAATTACTGCCAAGACAAAGGAAGATTAGCTGTTCGAGTTAATGGGGAGTTTGAGTAAGCTGCTATGAAATGACAGAAAATATGGGGTCAAATGCAAGAGAAATTGCATTTTATGGGAGTTAGTGGACAGTTTGAGTAAACTGAGCTTGAGTTCTGTCTTGTTGGAATGCCTCTTTTATTCAGGTGTTCTAGAATCTTTTTTCACACCTCCTCTAGCAAAGTATCTCTGAATTCCAGCATGTCTTTTCTCCTTTAGAGTAACTCTCTTGGTATTCACTGTTTCCTGGGCTGGCTTTGGCCATTGCTCCTGCAACTCCCTCTGCAGCTCAAGAGGTAACTCGACAAAAACTGCAGGGTCTATGCCGCTAGGGCAAATGATAGCTGGTTGACCCTCATCCCTGGTAGCCTCATCAATGCTTGTTCTCTCAGGTTGTGTTTGCTGTATGGTTAACTTGGAACTCCCTAGTGGTTTGTTGTCCTTAGTGTTGGTTGTGCCAATGTAACTTGTTCTTTGATCAGATGATTCATCTTCACAGCTCTTGGCCAAAGCTGCCCAGTCTTCCTCTTCAGAGAGATAACCCCCTTTTGATTCCGAACTCCTACAGGGTGTAAAATTTGCATGTTTGCCACAAGACTTATGGAAAAAGTTTGAGATGTCTTTGGCTTGACTGCTAGATGGCTTCTCAAAGTTTGTTAATGAAATTCCCAGAAGATTCAAGTGAAATGGTTTATTGACATCCACAACTTTCTTAAACAATGAGACACAAAGTTTCCAGAGAAGATCTCCTGCTTTTTCCTTGTCAGCAAAACAGATTTCTTGTGGCAATGGACATTGACGACTCTCCCTTCTGTATGACTTTTCCCCTCTTCTTCGAACAGAAACTCTCGCAGTCTGAGGTAACGCAGTACCAGAAGAAATTCTTGGAAGTATCCCTCTGACAAGACCCCTGAGCCGCTTTGTTGCATCCTCATGTGTTGAACAACCTTTAAAAGAGTCCTCGGCAGTTATTGTCTTAAACTCTCCAGAGGGAGTAACTTTACTGTCATCAATCCCATGGCAGAGTTTGATCATCAGATCTGCCAGAGAATGGCCAAATTCCTTTTCTAATACATGGATGGGACAAGAAAGTAAGTCATTAACGGATGAAATGTTAATTGTTTGAAGCTTTTTGGCTGTGCTGTGTCCAATACCTGTATAAAACAACATAGAGTGAAATCAAATTTACACAACTCAAATAGTAATTGGCAAAAAGCATTTTTTTTTCAAGATAAGATATAAGATAAGATAGTGACTTTATTTTAGGAGGGTAGCAAATAACAGTTTAAGTACAACTGATGACCCTGTGGCCCTCTATAAAGTAATCTAATCAATACTATATCTTATTAACCAAGCGCGAGGGCCGAACTGGGAGAATATTGGCCCGAGGTCTTGACAGTACAGACCGAGTGCAGCGAGGTCCATACAAAAAAGATCGAGGGCCGATATTCTTCAAGTACGGTCCCGAGCAAGCTTGGTTAATAAGAGATTTATTATACGACTGAAGTTGAAAGGGACACAAATGCAGTATCATTCGGGACCATTCAGGACAGTGCCCGGTCCAATACTGAGAGAATATTGACCGGCAATAGAGCATTTTGATTGGTTGATTTTAGTTATTGGCCCTCTGACTGCCCGAGTCGTGTAATAAATAAAATTAACATAAATGAAAGTAATAATAATTTGACGTAAATAATTTAAAAACCTATTAAAAAGAAAAATACATATGTATATATACTAAAAATTCATAATAATAAAAACATGCTAAAATATCATCATCCATATTATAACAAATTCATATCACTTTTATTTACTAAGTAAATTGTTTATAACTTTCTTTTACAAAGCTTTGGTATTCTTTAAGGTCTTTAAGGTCTTTATCCAGGTTATTCCGTTCTTTGACTAATTGTACAGTAAATGTTCACCCACCTTCTGTTTCATTTTTGTAACGGGGACAATTAAAATTTAAGTTACTAATAAAAGCGGGTACTTCTATGGTGGGTGTCAGAGTTCAATTTTAGCACTTGCTTCAGATAGACTGGCATCTTTCCTAAGATTCACTTAAGGAGTAAAGAACATCTAATTGCTAAGATTCATGGTTAAAAGTTGCAATTACACAGCCACCATTCTCGGTTATTTTAAGCTCAACAATTAAAATAGCTTTTCAAACTAGTAGAGCAATCCTTTAACCTATTAGATTTTCTAGAATTCCCTGCAACTTTAATATGAGGGACTACAGGCAGTAAACTTTTGAGATTTGTCCAAAAATGCAAGCAGAAATGAAAATGGCAGATTTGATGACATTTCCTCAGAATCATCAAATCCGCCCAGCTGATTTTGCTTTGATGAATTCTACTGAAATTGTCAGTGTAAACCCCTTATGACCTTTTAAAGGGTGATTAGCATCTAATTTCTCCTTACAATATCATCCCTGAATCATGTGTAAAGGTCACAAGTGATAAAGGAAACGATCACCAACTACAGGGCCCAACACTAACGGTAGCCCACTAGCCACAGCCTAGCAGAAATTCAGTTTTGGCTGGTGGATTTTGGTTTCCATTAGCCAGTTTGGCTGGTAAACGAACTGACGTTGTTGTAACATCTAAGATGTCACCAGCCACTTGGCTAGTAAGTTGAAAAGTTAGTGTCAAGCCCTGCAACTAGAGAAGCTCTTGATTGTTACCCATAATCAAATTCTTCTTGTCAGCACCTTAGGAAATGTCTAAAAAACATTATGGAGAATATGCATACTGATGTTAGGGTGGAACGGTAAATTGAAAGTAAACCCACAACTCACAAGGACATGTGAGCAAGTTCTGTTCTCCAGCATGTATTCATTTCAGCCATAAAAAAGGTTTTGCTACCTCTCAGGGCTGACCTTTTCCATTCAACAATTAGATTAAGAACTCAGCATTTTTAGCATGTGATAGTTGATGAGGGCAATGCCCCAACCCTATTATTCATAGAAATTCAGAGTGAATATAATTGTTTAAGTATAAATCTACACCTTGTTCAAAACTTAACACTTAAGACAGGCTCATGTTTTCAGTATATTTTTTTACAACTGCACAACGTTATGCTGCTCACTGTATTTGCTGTCTCTTCTAGATTGCCATGCATCTCCTCAGCATTAGATCATGGATTACATCAAAATGCAGTAAGAACAAAAAGTGGCAAACAGGTGGCAGCATCAACAGCATCAGTGTCACTGACATTCTCTCCACATTTTGATGTCTCCTTTGATCTATCACTGAACAGAGGCATGGAAAAATGGAGTCTACCTGAGTGTTTTATACGATAAAAAAGAAAAATTAAATGTTGTTAAAGATGATATCATCCTTGGGTCCATCCTCTGACCGATCATTGATAAAAAAATCAAAACGCATGTTAAATTTGACTTATCGTATAACACACAATAGATGGTGAAGACTTGAGAGAAAATGGTGGGTGATTTGCACTAATTAAGAATAGAATGATTTGAAAGGCCAGTCCTGTAAAGTAAAGAGTGGTGTGAGTCTGTGTATAACAAGTTTCAATAGTTAGAGGTTGAAATGCACTTCCTTTTTCTCTTATAATACCTGGGATATCTCTTGCTTTAAGTCCTGACAACAAGCTCTCTGCATCTTCTGGAAGTAATGTCGTCTGTTTATTGGGTTTTTTCCACGCACCCACAAGTTTAGCAAGAAGTTTGTTGTGAGCAATTCCAGCACAACATGTCAGACCAATGTCTTGCAGAATTGCTTGTCTGATTTCTGCTGCAATCAATGATCCAATTCCTAGTCTCTCATGGCAACCACAAGGACATGCATTAATGTCCTAAGACAGATAATTAATCAATAATCAATAGAGGATCAATGGATTACAATAAATTGCTTGATATAATAAATTATGATAACAAAATTAAGATATAATTATATAAAGGTAATTGAGAGTAATCAGCATACTCTAGTCATTAATGAAGAGGTTATTTTTCACTAGTTCAAAATCAATAGTAGCCTGTTTGGGAAGAACTGGGGTTTGAAATAACAGCTGCAAATCAACAGACAATGTCCAGTCAAATAAAGGCTTTGTTCAGTCAAAATTTTGGATGTCCACACATTTTGTCTGGTTGCTTATGCATGTAAAGAAGTTAATTATGCACTTGATTCTGCACCACGCACGAGATTACTGTGTGATGGATGTCCTCCCCTGGGGTGGGATGGGTGGGTATGGGATAGGTGGGTAACAGGACCCCCCTTGATACCAGTGTTTACTTCACTGAAGGAGCTATCCTGTATAAATGTAGATGTCTACTCTACTCTACTCTACTTAATTCTGCAGATGATATTTGCACAGGGAGTTTCCCCACAGCCCCATTCCCAGGGTCCTTTCTTGAGGGAGAAAGAAAGAGGACCCCAGGAATGAGGTTATGGAGAAAGTTCAGATACTTTTGAGCAGAGACCTGCAAACACCCTACAACTTTACCAGGGCTGTGGTCTAGCAGGGCCTGGTGGCCCCTGGCACCTTACTTTTGCCCTTGGGCGACTCAGGAATCTTAGTTTTTTCATAAAAAGCATATGCTGGGCACCCTGGATTTCACAGTTTCAGAGCACTGGGCTCCCTTCAATTTTTCTTAGAGCACAGAATTGTGTACTGTGCATTTTCCCAGCTCTAGCTCTAAAATCTCACACAAAACAGATGATGATACATAGGATAAATTAATATAGTTAGTCAAACCTTGTCTTTGCATTTTTCAACACTGCTTGTGTACAAACCCCCAACATACTCCCTCCAGCTGGGGTCCATGGCCAGCAGCCGTGCTTTCACAAGTTCAGTCACATCCAAAAAGTTCTCATCCATTCCTAACCTTTCTACCAGAGGTGTGAATCTCTCTGTTAGCAAAGAGTGCACCCGGCCAGAAAACTCTCTGTAAACAGTCAAATCTTCCCCTTTAACTAAAACAAGATCAGGACATGTCTTTTTGGCATCGCTTACGTAAACAAGTTTCTTCACCCCTCTTTCCCTCGCGATATAATTGCAAGTGACCACGATATGTTTCTGCTGAATCCCGAGGGGAACGTCTCTTAGTTCAGGTCTCTGGATCATCTCGACTTGTGCATAAAAACAATCGATATCAACATGAACAATGGTTCTACTGTGACCCAAACAAGACTCCAACTGCGTGGAATGTTTCTGTGTGGAAGACTGCCCATTTGGATGAGTTTGCGTATAGCTGGAGTCGTCCATACGGCGTCTTTTCGCAGGGAAAATCACAGACTGTCTGCTACAACTATTGACATGGGGTGGGGAAGAGAAGTCTTCATCACCTTCTTCTTCGTCAGTAGGTACACCTTCGTACGAATAGTCATAAGATGACCGAAAATCCTCCCTGATTGCATTATAATCCATCACCATATAGGCGTATACACCACAACAAACTACTACAAAATTATCAACGGCTGACTTTGACCTTCCCGCTCCAACAGCACATGTAGGCTTAGACACCGAGCCTTCAGCCTTGTAAAACGGTAAACTCCGGGTTGTCTTGTAGAAACGAGATAGTGGAAAGTTCCGATTCATCGAAGAATTTGCTGCTGGTGAGTTAAAAATTCAATCATCTCCATTTCCCCTTCATAATTCACAGAATACCAATGAAGCATCTAGATTCCTCAGAGGCTCTCTGGCCGTGGAAAACGCTCAGTGGGGATTTCCTAAACCACCCACCAAGTGTAGAAGTTTATTTCACTGCAGGCTTGAGACTCCTCAAATATTATTCATTCAATGCATATTGAATTGGACTGAACCGTTTTCCCCCCAGGAATAACTCACGCCTAGTTCCTTCCAACAGTATCACCCAAGGCAGTGGTGGATCCAGGGGGAGGGTCAGGGGGGTCTGGACCCCCCCATCAGACCTGACGCTTACAACTTTGAGACTGAAATTCTTACATCGACAGGATCGTATATCACTTTTCAACTGACTAATTTTTTTAATGAATCCAAGTAAATGGTAAGCAGCCAAGGAATTATAACATGCAACCACGACTGGTGGGAGGGGGGAGAAGTAATTTGCCTCAAGAGTCCAACAGTCCTTTCTGAATCAAAGTTTGGACCCCCTCCCAATCAAAAATTCCTGGATCCACCTCTGCGAGGTTGTGAGGACAAAGTGAAGATTAGGAATTCAATGCAAGACGCTACAGATTGTTAAACTAATTCTCCTTATACATACCATAGGAAATGTATAGAGTACAGTATGGAGAATGTGTCTACTGAGATAATAGGTTGTAAAGGGCACCAGGCAACAGAAACTGTAGAAATTATAGTGTATGTTGCTTAGATTGAAGTTTTCCCAAATGGCAATTTCATGAACAGGACTACTTAAGATAGCAAAATATCAGTTGATTGGAAACACGTTTGGAACTGAGGTTAAGTCAGGATCTTGTTGGTAAGTCAGTACATCTATTTCCCTCTGTAAAATCAGAAATGTTTCCTCCTACTAGTGTATTGTTTGTGTTGAAAATTAGACCTGAAGAACTGCTGAGAGGTATCTTTTGCTAACATTGTTACCAAAGCTTCTGGTAAAGTTTATTTACCATGTAACAATGTCAAGTTGCCTAAAACTTGTGAAGAATTGGGCACACCCACAGGAACTTTTTTAATGTGGTATCAAAGCTGGGAAACCAAGAAAGCAAAACTCAGGGAGCCAATCAAAACAAAGGATTCACTTCATCTGGTCCACCAGGACAACCCAAAGGTTTCATTAATGGCAGGGTATTAGGCAAACTAACTGGCTGTGAGGACAGTTTTTCCAAACTGGTTTTGCCATATGGAGGAAAGTTTACACTTCAAGTAGTTCAGTTGAAAAAGTTTTGCTTGCCTGTGGGAGAAATCAGTTCCCATCCTACTCAAAATGTTGAAGAAAGCCCTGACAACCAGTATCAAACAACTGCACAAGCCAGTAAGTCATGGTGTTTTAGAAGCATATAACCTTTTTTGGTAAAATTCAAAACAGACCAGTAAATCAACAAGAACAAGATTTCTTTGAACCCTTCAAATCTTTTTTGCTTATTTTGTGAGACAGCAGTTGTTACTTTTGTCTTCATTAGAAATTTTGCAAGAGAAATTGGTTGTACCCAAAGTCGATCTCTTCATGCTTGCTTGATGTTTGGCCACTGTGTTGTCATTTGTCTGTTTACTTGTTTGAGGTCAGAAAACCATACAAGATGACGTTTGTGTTTCAGTCTTTATTTCATTATTTTTTACAAGGTTGGTGTTTAGAACCTCAGCTTCTGGAAAAACCACTTGTTCTTGCCTGACTTGTACCTGGAAAGAGAGAATTTTGTTACTACAGTACACACAAGGCTGGAGTATCATACAATAATCACTCAATCAAACCTAATTCATTTACAATAAAATGTGTTAACCCAGTGGTTTCCAAACAAGCTGGCAACCAGAGTTCCGCCGGCTACTTGATTGTATGTCACTGGCTACTCTGGTCATAACAGTCTGCTTGTGACAAACAATCTCGGCATTATCACGGCTGCCTACTTTTCCAGAGTCGGCTGCCTACTTCAAAACATTTTGAAACCCCTGGTTAAGAACAAGAGTGACACACTCAACTATTGGATTTGCACTACTCTTCTGTTCCCACAAGTTTCAATTTGAGCATACCGGTAAAAGTAATTAGCTGTTCAAGCTCACTTTTGTCAAGCTGAATGTCTGACCCATGCATAAACCTCTAACTCCCTGAAGTGATTAGCATGTATCTTCTCGCTATGACATCTAACATCAAGCAAGCAGGTAAGGAGAATACTCAAACTAATCAGATGGAAGTTGTTATCTCAATCTAACACTAAATTCTTTTTACTACTTTACAAAACAGCTGGAGGAGAGAATTAACCAAAAGAGCTTGCAAGTTAAAGGGTTAATGTAAAATAATTTTCAAAGATGCCTCTTTCAAAAAGGACATTGATCAACAATCTTCATTTGCTCAGCATCTAAAAAGGATCATATAGACAAAAGAAAAGGAAACAGAATCCCAGAAATGTACAAAAAATCCAGGAACTTAGGAGGAACACTGCACAACAACTTTTCTGTTGAATGATCCAACACCAGTCATACCAATCATCCATAGATCTCTGTCCTGAGTTTCACAATAACATGGATGTGAAACAACGACAAAAAAAAACTGAGTAAGACAGACATATCTACCTTTCCTCTAATTTCACTTTAGCTTCCCTTTTGGCTTTACGTTTCTTGGCTGGATCTCTGAACACCTCTTTATTAATCACCTGTTTGTCCAGGTTGACATCGACTGAGTACCTTAAGACAAAAGACAAGATATTAATAAAATCATGAATTAACTAGTCTTGAAATCTCAAGAACAAAAAATATCACCTAAATAGTAAATTTAAGCTTACACTGGTAACTGAAAGAAAGGTAAGTTACTTCAAAAATCCCACATTTGAGGACCTCACCAATAACAATGATCATGAAAAACTGCAGACCAACTTAGTCCTTGTTTCAATGACCAATTTGTTGGCTTCATGTTAAAAATTATTACTAGTTGTTTTGAACCACAGATATGTTCCAAACTATTAATAAATTAAGGGCATATCACATTGTCTTGCCAAATCTTAACCCTTTAATCCCCAGAAAAGATTAAAATGTAACTTCTCCTTCTCATATCCAGACAAATTCCAGCAAACAGGTGACAAGAATACTCAAACTTGTCAGGTAGAAGAGGGAAGAATTAATAATCAGATCTAACTTAGGAGTTAAAGATGGAACAAGATAAAAAGCAACTACTACTGGTTATCAGCTATCTCCTCAGGAACAATAAAATTGACAATAAAATGACAAAAATGGTTCAACATTATTCATGGAGAATTTGTGTTACAGGTATCAGCAGCTGAGCAATTGGTTAACCGTTTATTAGGCAGCTAAGTCTTCCCACCAACAAAAATATCACCTCTGGATCAAACATTAAGGTTATGTGAATAGAGGCAACAATCGCAAACTCAAGGAGCTCTGGACTGTTAGACAAATTCTCCCTACATGTACCGTAGGAAATCTATAAAGAACAGCACGGAGAACTTGCGTACTGACAACAGGGTGTAAAGGATCAGAACTCACCTTGTCGGCATAAGATGATTGTAGTTGTAAACTTTTACAAAAGGCTTTATTCTGGACCTCTTAGCGGTCTTCTTCTTTCCCATTTTCTTTGTAACTTTTAGTGGGTAGCGAGCAATTCCGGCCACAAGTGCATGGCCGTAAGGTTTATCGCTCGTTCCATCGTCGTAGTTTTTCACAATTACAGCCTTTTTGCCTGCATAGCGTCCATTTAAAACCAACACAACCTTGCCAGACTTGATGAATTTCCCCATGATTATGGAGGAATCTGTAAAATACCCATTCGCTAGACTTTTAGTGTCAAAGAACACAAAAGAAGAGGAAATATGAAGGTTTGGAAAGTGATGGCTAAGTAACAACGGTTGCTTTCTCGACTATTGTGGGATGTATATCTTGTAAGAGAATTCACGAACAGATCGATATTTCAAATTAAAGTTAGTGGTATAAAAATTTAAAATAATATATTTTCGATTCGGATGGAAGCAGATTGTTGTGGAATACTCCTCACACTCACCAGCAAAGATGGCGACGAAATAAGAGAGAGACCGAGGTAGGGAAAACCGCTGACTAAACTACATCGCATGACTCAAAACATGCACAGGACGACACCGCGGAATTAGATCGTTTTCACTTGACGTCACATCATTTCCGGTCGCCATATTTGTGTACAACCCAGGGTAATACATGCAGGGTAATATATGCAAATAATAAGCACATCAACAATTTCTGCCTGTAGAAATGAATACTACAGCAACGTGATCTTCTTTCTGCTGACAATTCTCTGGCTTCATTTCCTTGATTTTCAAGTATCGAAGGTACTTTGACAAAATATAATCCTTTATTCCTTCCACTTCCATTTCCACAGCCGACAATCAAATAATAAGCACTTGTGAAGAATTGGGCGCACCCACAGGAACTTTTTTAATGTGGTATCAAAGCTGGGAAACCAAGAAAGCAAAGCTCAGGGAGCCAATCAAACAAAGGATTCACTTCATCTGGTCCACTAGGACAACCCAAAGGTTTCATTAATGGCAGGGTATTAGGTAAACTAACTGGCTGTGAGGACAGTTTATCCAAGAGAAAAGTAAAAGTCGTTTTTCCAGAGAAAAGTAAAAGTCGTAAGTGGGGCATGACTTTTCAAAATGTCGAAATTTTGCTTTCTGCGCCTGCCCGAGATTTTCAGGCCGCCATTTTGCATTTGGATCGAAAGGCCGTCGAGTGCACGAGCTTTCAAGGGGTTTTTGGTAAGTTTGAGCTTTTAAAACCACAACAGTGACCCGAAATCTGCTCTACTAGCTTCAAAACACAGTTTTCCACAAAAGCTGCGGCCATTAATGGGTTAAGGA